TATGAAGAGTGTGGCATCCATTTGGGTTCCTTTTGCATGTGGGTGTCCAGTTGTCCCAGTAACAATGACTAAGACTCTTGGTTGCATTGTGCTGTGTACTACAGGGTCTCAGTCACAAGTCAGATGGTAAGGCTTGTAATCAGACAGTGTCAGTCACCTTGCTCCTCGGTGTTGTGCTAATTAATCTGGGTCTGGGGGCTCCTTGTAGACTTTAGAATCAATTTGCTGATTCCATAATGTCCTGTGCTGGGATTTTGTTTGTTATTGCATTGAATCTATCTGTCAGCTTGGAGAGGACTAACATCTTGACAATATCAAGTCTTAAAATCTATGAATATGGAGTGTCTTTCCATTTATTTAACCCTTTTAAAATTCTTTCATGAGAAATCTGAGTTTTCTTCATCTTGATTTTCTCCTGTTTTCTAAGAATGGAGACGTGGTTTTTATTTTGCTTTGGTAATGTAAATGGTGCTGCATTTTAAATTTCAAATTCTACTTTATTGCTGGCATTTATGAAAGCAATTGACTTTTGCATGTTCACTTTGTTTCCCAAAGCCTTGCTGTGATGACAATTTCCGGGAGTTTTTATGGTCAGTTTTTGTGTGTTCAGCACAGATGGTCAAGTCATCCGTGAATAAATCTCTGTGGCCCACATGACTTTTTCCCCCTTTTCTTATTATTGCAGTATTTGAGACTTCCAGAATGATGATGAATAGGAGTGGTAAGAGCAGACACCTTTCCTTGTTCTTAATCCCGGTGAAAAAGCTCTGAGTTTCCCGGCCTTCATCATGCCAGTGACAGATATGTGTTTTGACAACTAAAATGCCTTTTCCTCTATTCCTGACATTATGAATGGCTGTTCCGGTGCTTTCTCTGCGTCTGTGGATATGATCATGTAATTGTTTCATAACCTTTAATGTGATGGATTACACTCATGTCAATATACATTCTCAACGTCGTGTTTCCACTGTTGACCCAGCTTTGCATATCAGAGGTAAATCCCGTTTGATCAGGATATACAGTCATGGGAGATGTTGATCTGAAATTTTCTTATGTTATCTTTGTCTGCTTTGGCAGGAAAGGAATTCTGGAGTGATAAATGTTCTATTTCCATCTTATAAAAGACATTGTAGATAAGTAATCTGGTAGAATTCCCCAATGAAGACCTTTGTGCCTAGAGCTTTCTGTTTTAGAAGGTTGCTAATTTCTCCTTTCTTTAGCAGACCTCGCTTATTGAGACTTTCTCTTTCCTTGTGTGAGTTTCAGCAGATGTGTCTTTGAAGGAGTTCACCTGTTTCGTCTAGATTACCATAATTTGCTATGCTTAAATCTACCGGGTCAGTAGTGAGATTTCATTTTTAATTTTTGGTGTTAGAAGTTCGTGTCTTCTTTTATTCTTGGCTGTCTTGCTGGAGGTGTATTGGTTTCATTGATCTTTTCAAACAAGTAGCTTTTGGTTTTGTTGATTTTTTTTTCTATTGCTTTGCTGTTTTCAGTTTCATTCATTTCTGCTCTAATCTTACCAGTTCTTTTTGATATTATGGATTTATTGTCTTGCAGACAATAGGAAAATTTTCCTTGAACTCTTTTTTTTTAGAATCTCTGTAGGTGACTCCAACATGTGACCAGTTTAAGGAGCATTGTATCAATCTCACTTTCTAACAAGAAGAAAAATGAGGAATAGGGTCACGCTATGTATGAGCCATGGTCATGTTGAGTTACCTGCTATGTCTTCTTGGTTAATCTGCTTAATCTTGGTCCTGATGACTGTATAGTCTTATCTTTCTCTGCTGCCTGAGTTGTCTGTGCTCCTGTCCAGACACAGTTACAGTTGACAAAGAGCATTTGTTCTGGTCTTTTCCATTACTGGTCTTGGGACTTGCTCATAGAGTCTTTTACTGGCCATATCGGGGTGATTTACACAGTCAACTCTGTGAATTTCCTTTGACAGGAGAGCCCCTGCCCATTCCTTCTTAAGTAGCTAACCGCTGCTTTGTAGGTAGTTACTGAACTTTGGCCTCTGTGAGCCAATACAGGTTTGACATTTTCCTAAGTTAATCTCTGGGTTCCTCACAATATTTCCATTGGAATCAAAAGATCACTACAGTGAGCTTGCAGTTAATTATTTCCATAACTTTTATAAAGTAAATTTAAACACTTCAGTGTGGTCTGATTGCAACTATTAGGGAAAATACTGTACTAAGAAAGAAACGTTTTTCTTGACTAATCAAATCAATGCTAATAAAACAAATTTGCTAGAAGAAAGCTGGTAATTACTGTTCATTCTGCCTTATCATAATGTAATGCTACAATATGGAATGAAGTGTTTTTAAATGCACCATTTATTTTTAAAATACCACTTGTTTTCTAATTACACAAATAGTGTTTGTTCATCCTGCAAAATTTAAAACCACTGTAGAAAAGCTCAAAAAGGAAAAGCCTTAAATCACCTGTAATTTCACCACCTGGGCAGCACTGATGTGTCTGGCTGTTGAGGGCTTCTCAGAAACGCCCACATTTAGTGGGAAATCATTTGTGAATTCACTCTCAGTGGATCAGTGTTTCTGTTTAACAAAAAGAGATTTGATGCTTAATATTTGTTGTGCCTTTTAAATGCCATCTGCTGCCCAATTATCTTTCAGTCATTGGTATTCTTTTGTAGCTTTTCTTCTAGGACTTGAATTTTCTTTTCTTGTTCTATCATTTTATTTTTATTGGAAAGTCAGATATACAGTGAAGAGGAGAGAGAGAGGAAGATCTTCTTTCTGTTGATTCCCTCCCCAAATGGCTGCAAAAGCTAGAGCTAAGCCAATCTAAAGTCAGAAGCCCAAAGCCTCTTCTGAGTCTCCCACGTGGGTACAGGGTCCCAGGGCTTTGTGTCATCCTCGACTGCTTTCCCAGGTCACAAGCAGGGAGCTGGATGAGAAGTGGGGCTGCCGGGATTAGAATCGGGCCCCATATGGGATCCTGGCATGTACAAGGCAAGGACTTTAGCTGCAAGGCTACCACACTGGACCTGTTCTACCATTTTTTTTTACAGAGATTAAGGTACTTATTTAGCATATTATTATTCTTCTATAAAATTATATGTAATATACAAAGAAAAAGAGGCAGAAATACTAACCAGGGGAATTTTGCAAATATTTATGGTGAGGCAAATAGGAACCACCGTCAAGTTTTAGAAAGGAAGCAAAATAGTCCCCCTTTGCAGATTCTATACAGAGAGCTTGGAAGACAGAAATCTGTTATGATTCTGTTGACATGTGGTCTGTAGGATAAGCAAGTTCACAGAGTCTGCAAGCAGAGTGGGGGATGGAAAGGTTCTAGCAGTGGGTGGCGGCCATGGCCATGCCACATTGTGATTGTGCCTGATGCCAAATGCCTGGTTACACTAAACGTAGCTTTTAAAGCCTTATGTGTTTATTTGCTTTCGTTTTATTTGAAAGTCACAGAGAAAGAGAGGTCTTCCATCCACTGAGTCACTCCACAAGTGCCTGCAACAGCTGGGGCTGGTCCTGGCCAAGACCAGTGCTCAAGCTGGTCTCCCCTGTTCCTGGCAGAGGCGCAATCCCCTGAGCCATCATCGCAAGTGGAGGTGCAGCTTATACCGAGGCGCGCCAAAGGGGTGGGATGTCCCAGCCAGCATGTTGACTCCTGTGCCAAAGACCCAACCACATAAATTTTCTTTTAATTCCAATTTCCCTTTTTCATGAGCCTTTTGAAGTACCCTTGTATATATTTTATCCCAGATTTTGTTTTTCAAAAGCACAAAAAATGTATCCAGGAGTCCTGATGCAGTATAACTTACCATTGCTTTTACTTGCTAATTATAATATTTAAGTCACAAGTGCTTATCAGTGCCTGCCTGCTAATTGCCGCTCTTCCCTGTCGCACTGGCAGCCCCCTTGCGGAAGGCCCGGTGGTCGTGATTCGAGCTAATTGCTAGACGTGAGCGACAGCTGGAATATCATCTCGAGATCTCATAAAACAGATCAACTGTTCTTGATTTTAGAATGCAAAGAAGCAATAATTTCTTGTCTCCCCTGATGCCTTTGTAAGCTCAGTTGACCTATATGAGGGCTATAGGCGAGGAGGGAGGAGGGGATTAGATAGATTAGTCAGTCGCCACTCCTAAAAATATCAGACCGAGTTTTTTCTTAATCACGTAACTGTGGCCTTCTGTCTTCTCAGAGCAAACAGCTTTAAGATGAAGCCCAAAGAGTTCTCTTCCATACAACGATCCTTCTCGGCTCTCCTGTGGTGGGATCTAAAATGCCTCACAAAGAGACACCCTTCAGTGTTTGGGGTCTAGTTCTTTCTTTCTTTATATGTGTGGAAAGTCAGTTAATTCAGAGAGGAGGGACAGAAAATGAAATCTTCCTTCTGCTGGTTCACTCTCCAAATAGCCAGAATGGCTGGAACTGAGCCAGTTTAATGCCAGGAGTTTTTTGTGGGTCTTCCATATGGGCACAGGGGCCCGAGGCTTTGGACTGTCCCCTACTGCTCTCTCGTGCCATAAGCAGGGAGCTGGGTGGGAAGTGGAGTGGCCAGGACATGACCTGGCGCTGTTGTGGCATCCTGATGTGTGCCAGGCAAGGATTTAGCCACTATGCCATCATGGCAGTCCCTAAAAGCAACATTGAAGTTGGAGTAATTGAGAGAGGTGGAGAAGCAGACACAAAATCCTTTGCTCCCTAGATGGCCCTGGGGCTTGGGTCAGGTGGAAGCCAGGAGCCAGGAATATTCTCCAGGTGCTCCACGAGGCGGGCAGGAACCCAAGCACTTGGGCCATCTCAGCTGCTTTTCACTAGCTTTTAACAGAAAAATGAATCCAAAATGGAGCAGCCAGTCATGTTTTTCTTGTTTAGTATAATTTCTGGTATTTGTGGGTTGAAATAGACTGATCTGTAGGAATCTTTTGTATCCATTGATTATGAAGTGTTGTTAGACTTCCTAATAAGAAACAGAAGAAAACCATGCTGTTTTCATTGTATGTGCAGGATGGGTGCTGCAGACAACATATATAAAGGGCGGAGCACATTCATGGAAGAACTAACCGACACAGCAGGAATTATCCGGAAGGCAACAGCACAGTCCTTGGTCATCCTGGATGAGCTGGGAAGGGGCACCAGCACTCATGATGGGATCGCCATCGCCTACGCCACTCTGGAGTATTTTATTAGAGATGTAAGTGCCCTGCTTGCCTTTTAAAAACACTAATATCATTTTTTAAAATTGACAGTCATAATTATATACATTGCAATCATTGGTGCAGTATGGTGTTTTGATATATACATAGAGAAATAATATATAAATAGTGTGGAATGTTTAAATGAAAGCAGTCAACACTTCCATAACCTTGCTGTCTTGTTTGTTAAGTCATTTGGAATTTGTGCTCTTAATTAAATTGAAATATACCATACATTCTCATCAACTATAATCATAGGCCTTTGTGCAACACTGGGTTGGCACACACTGTGCCCGTCATTTTCCTAATTTATTCCAGATCGTCAAGATCACCCTTGTTAAAACTGACCCTCACCCTGCCACTTGACAGTAGAGTGCTACTCACTGAACTGTTACATCCACCCAAAGTCAAGTTTGAAGCTAATGTGTGTCTTCCTTTCTCTTGCTGAAGCAAAATGAACCTCCTTGGTCATTTCCACCCAGAACTATATCCTACTGTCCTTGATGGACTGAGGCCAGGGTCAGGGGTCCTGCAGCTACATCCAGTACCCTCAAGGGAACACCAGGAGTCAGGGCCACTTCTGCCCTGGTACTTCGGAGGACCTCAGTGGGAGAGCCTTGCTATCACCTCCAGGTCTGGTGGCACCTGCTTCCTCTGGGTGTACACTGCAGAGTGCACTGCTGAGCCTGTCAGAGGGAACCTGTGTGTCAGGCTGCCCGGTCCTGGGTGTCCTCTTCACCATGGGGCTGCCCTCTCTGTGCTGGCTCTGCCCTCTGCCCTCTCTCCCTCAGATGCCCATCCCTGAGCTTTGTCTCCTCCAGCTTTCTTCTGCTATCTCCTCCTCCTTCCCTATTTCCTCACTCTCTACTTTGTTCCTATCTTCTCATTTTCATTTCTTTCTGTCTTCCTCAAATAGCCGATAAAAAGCACATTTTCTTGGAGCCAGCACTACCTGTGGCACTGTTCGAGTTCCAGTGCTGCACTACTAATGGCCTGGGAAAGCGGTGGAAGACGGCCCAGGTGTGGTCCCTGTGTGCATGTGGGAGAAATGGAAGACGCTTTTGGCCCCTTTGACCTGCCCAGGCTGTACCTGTCAAGTGTTGTTACATATTCTTTTAGAAAATTTGTTTTATTATGATTTTATCATGTCTGTACTTACTCATGACAGATTTCTTTGAAGTCTCTTCTATCAGAAATCAGTATAGCAGCTCTAGCTTTCTTTTGATTGATTGATTGACTTGAAAGGCAGAGGTGAAGAAGAGACAGGTCCTCTCTGACTGCTACTTCACTCCCCACATGGCTGGGGTCAGGCCAGACCAAATCTAGGAGCCAGCAGCTTTTTCCAAGTTTTCCATGTGAGTGCAAGGGCTCAGAATTTGGGCCACCTTCCTCGGCTTCCCAGACACGTTAGCAGGGAGCTGGATTGCGAGTGGAGTAGCCAAACTTGAGCTGGTACTCATATGGCAGGCCAGTGCGGTGTAACTCTTTATACTGTAATACTAGCCCTTGCCCATTAGTTTTTAATATATAAATGCTTTATATTCAAAATGGATTTCAGACAGTCAACATACAGAGTCTTGGTTTTTGATCACTCTGCAGTCTTTGTCTTTCATTGGTACCTATAGACCACTGGCCCATAGGTGATCGATAGAGCTGTACTAGCACCTGCTTGTTTGTTACTGCTTCCCATTTATTGCCCTTGACTTTATTCCATGCTTTCGCTACCTTTTGTGGTTTGGTTGAGTGTATTATATGATCTCATTTTCTCTCCTTTCCTATCATATCAGTTATTCTTCCTTTCATACTTGTATTAATGGTTCCCTTAGCCTTTACAGTTTACAGTTACAGCTAATCCAAGCGCATTTTCAAATTCTTTTAAGATTTTAGTTTTTATTGGAAAGGCAGATTAGCAGAGAGAAGGAGATACAGAAAGATATGCTGTCTGCTGGTTCATTCCCCAAATGGCCCTGGTGGCTGGAGCTGAGCCAATCTGAAGCCAGGAACCAGGAGCTTCTTCCAGATCTTCCACATGGCTGCAGGGTCCAAAGGTTTTGGGCCATCCTTTACTTTCCCAGGCCACAAGCAGGGAGTTGGATGGGAAGTGGAGCATCCAGGACAGGAACCAATCTCCATATGGGATCCTAGAGTGTGCAAGGCAAGAATTTACCCACTGAGCCATTGTGTCAGGCCTATTATAAATAGCTTTTAACAGCAGAGTAACCCTAATTGTTTTCTTCTTTATTGAGATTTTGTTGAGCTCGGTCTTCCTTCAGCTGTTCTCAGCCAATCGCCCCATCAGAGGCATCCTTTGTTTCTTTTCATGTTTTTGGGCTTGTGTTTCTCTTTGGCCCTTCCTCAGGATTTCCATGTCTCTGGTCTACTTTTTCCCGAAGACCCCTTTGCATGTTAATCCTAGTTGCTTCAGCTTTCCAGTCTGATCATTCCAACATCTGCTGCAGCTAAGCCTTATTCTGGTGCTCACTATCTCTTTAGACTTTTAATTTACTTCATGATAGCTGTCTGACATACAGGGTAACAAGAGCTGCTGTCAGTGGTCTTTGGTAATGTGCTGGTCAGGAGTTGGGAGTGGGCGCTTCTCCAGTCCTGGTGAGTGTGCCTCTGCACTGAGAAGTTCTCCGTGGCCCCTCGTGCTCCTGTTAGGGTGAAAGCCTAGCGGGGCCGTGTTGGGGCTTTCTGTCTGTTAGGCTCTGCCAGCAGTGTCCACCCTGCTGAGATAGCTGTTTCTGTGGTCGAGCCTTGCCAGGGACTGACTGCTTTGGTGTCTTCCCAAGGTTCTCTGGGTCCTTCTGCTGCTGGGGGAGGCACAGGATCGTTTCCTTCATTATTGAGAAGCAGATCGAATTCCTGAAGATGAAATTCATGCAGCTGTGCCCTCCCATCCTCCCACCCCCCGTGGCTGGTTCCCTGGCGTTTTAACTCCAGGCTTGCCCACAGGGTTTTCTGTCCTGGCACTGGTTTTCCCTAGGAGATTGCTACTCGTGGCTTTCACTCAGGAAATTGAATCTTTGCCTCGGTCCACCTGTCTCTCTGACTTTGGAGGCAGCCGTCTGCCGTGACTTCACTCTTTAATAGTTTTCAGAAGGGTTGCTGATCTTTCACTGCTTTCCTTTTTACATGTCCAGCTGGACTGGCCACTTCCTGGTGTCTTAAGTACTAGACTAGAAACTGTAACCCCTCTGTCAGATTTCTGGATAAAGCCTTTAATTTCACAGTGCCATTTATGCTCAGTGCCTGGGGAGAGCATTCTAGGGGAAACAGGGAAGGGGAGGTTTTGCCCCTGCGCACCGACAGACCCTGGCTGGGCCTTGCCTACAAGTGCTGCTTTCAATGAGGTGAGTGGTAGGTGAATAAAAAACCGCACTTCTTTGATTTCATCACTCCCCTTCTGCTCATTTTGGACCAATATCAGGGTTAATGTTCCTTGAGATCCAGGTTTGCCAAATACATAACAGATGCCTTAAAATGATGTACATTAAATCACACAGCCATGCAGATGCCACTGAGACAAAACTTAACTTTGACTTAACTGAGAATGAGTGGGGAAAAGGCTGAGCCAATCCATGTGGAGAGTATTTTCCATAAGTCAGAATTTCAGAACCACCATAATAATGCCTGATTCAGGCCAAGATGGCCTGTGGATGGTCAGACCTGCAGGGAAAGGTTGTTGGGGGCAGGACCTTCAGCCAGTTTATTCATACATTAACACAGGTTGCTTATCACTAAGAAAGAGGACTTGGGCCTATGGAGTGACACCGTCTGCTGGACGCTCACCTAGACTGTGTTTGTCCAGTGTCTGGAAAGGGTCCGGTTGACTACTGCACCTTCCTGATGTCACATTGGAAAGAGTGCATGACCCCTACGGGTGGAATGCTCCTGGCACTAATGTTTAAACTAGACTCCAGGAGCTAATAGGCCCAGATTGAAGGGCATTATGTAGAATGATTTTCCTTGATATTTCCAAGTGTCAAAAGATCCCAAACAAGAGGCAGGAAAAAAAAGAAACGCTATCCTGGCGATGAAGGAAATGTGTCAGCTCTGTTCTGGAGCAGCGCGTTCCCTGAGTGTGGTGACTTATGCTGTTCAGGTAGGAGAATGTGTATTTGGAATCTTAAGGATTTAGGGATATGCTTTGTGCAGCTCCACATGGCCCAGGACTAAGGGGGTGTGAGGAAAGACGGGGTCTGTGGCAAAAGTCTTATTTTGGTATCTAGAAGCACAATATGTAGATGTCCATTGTAGTTTTCTTGGAGCTTTTCAAAGTTTGAAATTTTTCAAAAACTTGCTCCCGACTTTTGAAATTCAAAACAGAAAGTTGAAGCAAATTGTTCATTAAATACAAATGTACAAATAACACGGTTGTGTATCTTACTGCTTTAGGTGAAGTCCCTCACCCTGTTTGTCACCCATTACCCACCAGTTTGTGAACTGGAAAAGCATTACTCACAGCAAGTGGGCAATTACCACATGGGATTCCTGGTCGCCGAGGACGAGCCCAGACAGGACCCAGGTACGAAAGTCCCTGCAGTGGGCGCAGGGCGGTTAGCTCGGCCGTTCCTGCCTTATGACTCAGACTCAGAGGAGCATCGGTTTACTGCCTGCTCGCAAGGGAAGCTGTGGATTTTAGTTATATATTACGTTTGTCCAGATGTGTTTTCCCTAAGCTTTGGATCCCCTCCTCTTCAAGAAGCAGGGGGTTTCTTGGCCCCTGACCCGTCCCGTGATTCATCTTGACAGTGTAGTGTAATCACAGTCCACAAGCCCAGGATTTTCCCCAGAACTGCTCACTAAGGGCCACATCCTGCACTGGCATGCACTTAACTTGGTGCTGCGGGAGACCTCCTCAGGCCAGAGGTGCCTTGCCTGTGCCTGCTTTTTGGGCCGAGACTAAACTGAGCCAACAGCCCACCTCTGAGTTCCTGGTCCTTCCTGCTTTGCTCTTCTGGAACTACAGGGGAGGGTGTGTCTACAGCGTCTTCCCCGCCCTCCCAGCTATTACTGGTGTTACAGAAATGAGAAATTTTATGCAAAAGGGGCACCATTTACATAAGGACCGTAAGTTGCCCAGTGGGCTTCAGCATATTCTGCTCCTGTTCATTAGTCTCTTTTCGAAGCTTCAGCCTGTGGGCCCCTGGTGGTTTGTACAGTTGTGCACTACAATGGGAAATCCATTTTCCAAGATACTTCAGAGCCCACATTTTGTTTTGGAAAAGTAATAAGGATGGACATGAAAAGAAATGGGTAACTGGTTCAAATAAAACAAAGCATTGGCTCCAGAACCACTTAATAATGGCCAATGCAGACACGCTATAAATCCCTTCGTGGACAAGCTGCATATCCATCCTGCTGCAGGTGGTGAGAGGCTTGTCGGCTGCAACTCCCGGGGCAACGGGACGGAGGGGGTCCATCAGGACCACGGAGTACCAGACCCGGAACCCACAGCCAGCCTTCCCCTGAGGTGCTCTGTCACCATATCAATTTAAAATTTCATCCATGAACATAACTTCTAAAAATTAAATGATGTGAAAAGGCTCGTGCTGGGAGCTTCTGCCCTCTACTCCATCCCAGCCCCAAGGCAGTGCTCCTGTCCTGTGTCTCAGCACTGTGTCCTCTCTCCCACCTCAGGATCCATCAGTGTTAACATGGCCTCTGGGCTTGTCGTGGTGTCCGTCAGGAGTCTCAGGCCCTCCCTCCCTCTGTCCTGCCAGCATGTCGCTCCACATTTTGTTCAGTTTCATTCAGTCGTTGCTTGCATGATTGTGGCGTGAGTCTTGTTGGTGAGCCAAGTATGGAGACGAGCACTTTGCACATGGTACTTTCGGGAAGATGAGCGTGACTTGTGGTTTTGCCCATGTTGGTATTTTTGAGGCTGCGCTGAGTCTCCCTGTCCCCCTGCTGCTCTCACTATGTCTCCATGTGATTGAATATACTGTTTCCAACTTATCCCCACTGCTGCCCAGACCCCCTTGCGGCCTGTTACCTGGAGTTGTTGCTGCCCACTGCTCCCCAGGGAGGCTTGGTGCTGCCCAGAGCCCCTTACCCCTGCTCCCCGCAGCTGCTTGTATGTGTGCTGCCACCAGTTGCTGGCCAAGTACCCTGGCAAGTCTCTAACCTGTCCTCTTGTGCATTTTATTGAAAGTAAGAGATTCAGACCCTGACTTGCACGAGGAGCCTTAACATTCCTGTCACCTCGCTAGGGTGGGCTCAGCTCTTCCTGTGTGTGATCTCCCTGCTGGGCCAGCTGTAGGCCAGGCTGGTGGCATCACAACTACAGCTGCCAGGCACCATTGGCACATCGGTTATGTCCCGAGGAGAGGGAAGGCCCGCTTCTCTCAAGGGAGCTTTTTCTCAGATGCCTTTTAGTGTCGTGGGATTGTCACATCTGATTTTCAGAACGAGTCACATGCTTGTTCTTAAATCAGTCCTTAGAAGGAAAGGAGATACGGATGACTTCGGGTCAATCAGATCTACTTTTCAAGTTGTGCCTTAGAATTCCATTCCTGAGGTCAGTGGTTGAGGTTTAATTCCTTATAATGCCAGGAGTTTCTTAGATGTCAGATAAACAGCTGCTAGCATCATCTAAAGGAGACTTTGATGAATGGAAAGGCCCTTTATGGTTCATGCAGGACTAGAATTCTAGATTGAAAATCATGTCTACTCAGACTTTTGCAGCCCTGCTCTTTCGCTCCCTGGTTTCTGGTGTTGTAGCTCTGGTAGATCAGCGGCTATCACGTGGGTCACCAGTGAGATGCCCAGAGGCCTTTTGGGTGGCCTCCAGCCTGCTCTGCATCAGAGGCCTTTTGGGTGGCCTCCAGCCTGCTTTGCATCCGGAGTGTCTTCTGCTGGTCTGTTTAAAATAATGGGCCAGCAGTCAGGAAACACATTTCATGTCTGTAAAAGACTTGGACAAGTCATTCTACTTTTAACCCACACCTAAATTGTTATGAATCCACCCCAAAAATGACTTCAAGAGTTATTTGATCAGTGTCTATCTTGATAATCATTGCCATGGTGTTCAGTTGACCCTGTGTTGTAGAGATTGTTGCTTATTTAGCTGTTTTAGGGATTCCAAGTCCAAGGGTCACAGCCCAGGCCCTGTGGCAGGATATACCCCCAGTCTGCATCTTCTAAAGGCATGCTCCATCCAGGCAGTGAGGTCTGCAACTAAGACAGACAGTGAGTGGGTGGGGCCAAGTTTACACTTTCTTTACAGTCCCCAGGGAAGAACTGCCAAGAAGCCATCCACAGGCACACCCACACCAGGCCCCACTTCCACGAGATCTGCTGCCTGGGGACCAGACCTACAGTCCCAACAGACCTTTGAAGGACACTAAAGCTGTGGTGGCTGCCAGGAGAAGTGGAGCCGTGGAGTGAGTTAGGCTTACTTTCCCTGTAGTGAGCAGAAATACCAGTTGTTACCCTTACTTCCTCTAAGCAATGCCAGGTCAACTTCTCAATGATCTCCCCTTAACACAGGGTAATAGCTTATAAGTGGATGCGTCCTCACCAAGACTGTGTCAGGTCGTGCAGAAGTGAGGTTTGTTATTCCTTGTCTCTCTCGCAGCTTCCTCCGCCTCTGTGTGTCTGCACTGTGCACACCTACTTGCCTCACCTCAAGGGGGATGGTCTGGGCAGCCCCCTGAGGAGGGGGCAGCATGACTGCTGTCCCCACCTTACCCCAGTTTGTACCAGAAAGGGAGCCAGTTTATGGTGAGGACCTCACCTCTGATTGCACTGAGACGTGTTCCTGGGGTGTGCTGGGCGGTGTCACATGTTGTGTAATTTCGTGTTGTTTTACAACTATATATAATAAGCACCGTTACAGCTGTCTCTGTACAGAAGAGTATTTCACAAAATTCATGGAAAACAGAATCTTAAAAGTAAGCATTTGGTAGCACACACACACACACACACACACACACACACAGAGGAAAGAGTTTATTTTGTTCATGGTGTTGAAAGCCTGTAGTGTCAGTTGAGGTGGCCCCATTGATGTGGCATCTAATGAGAGGGGTAGGTGAGCATCCAGGTAGTAGGAGGATCACCCAGCAAGCCAGGAAGCAGAAGGAGCAGCTGGGCCAAGCAGCTGTCTAACCAGCCCTCTTAGGAACAGCCTTCCGGAGGCAGCCTCAGGGCCTCAGCCCTTCCATATCGGGGCTGGTGCTATGGTGCAGTCTGTTAAACTGCTGTCTGCAACCCTAGCATCCCATTTGAGTCCTGGTTCGAGCCCTGGCTGTTCCACTTCTGATCCAACTCCCTGCTGATGTACTTGGGAAAGCAGCAGAGCCTGCCTGTCCTTGGCCACTTGGGGAGTGAACTCATGGGACCAGGATCTTTCTGTTTGTCTCCTTGTCTTTCAGATAAAAAGTGAATCTTCAAATAAATAAATAAATACAACCCATTGGTGTAAGACTTTGGGGGCCAGGCCCTCCATACATGGCCCCTTTGAAGGTATCCAGACTATTGTCCAGCCCTAACAAGTAGGCCCTAGGCAGAGGGATAGACTGACAGATGAGTCTGACTGGTAAGGACCAGCAGTGGGGCTAGGAAGTTCCGTCAGCCATGGCCACTGGAGGTGTTCCCGGTTAAGCTGAACCCAGGTGAAGGGACAGACCAGGAGGAAGGGTTGCCTCTGTCTTGTGTGAGCATCCAGGCTTCGCAGGACCAGCTTCTCCCTGCATGCTCTTCCCTGCCCTCTCCCCGCCCACTTGCTCACCTGCGCTTTGTGTTCCCTGAGCTTTCTTTGGAGGCAGGAGGTATTCTTAGTGCTTTGTCGTTGAGGTCTGAGTCTGTAATTCCTCCTCCCACTTCCAGCACCCAGCCCTTAGAAAGCTCTGAGAGGAGGCTAAGGAGAATTCCATTATGCTGCTCCCTGTTGTATTTAGGCTTTCAACTTTTTCAGTGTTTCCTAATAAGAGAAGGAAAGCATACATATTTATTAACACATGAGAAAATGCTCCTGATAAGCTTACGGGGTCTGTCCTTAGCTGCCAAAGTGGTTGCAAGCACGAGGTATCTCGGCCATTTTTACCGCATGGCACAGTCATGCTGGATTCACAGGAAAAGCTGCATGTGATGCTTTTGATTGATGACCAACGACACCTTGCAGCCTCGTCCCGGCATTTCTTGCATGTCTTTTTATCCTGGTTCTTTCAAAGTTGAAGGTTCATGTGTCTGAACACGTGTGGCAGTCAGGGACCAGAGTCTGACATTGGCACTGGGGAGGTGTGTGCTGGGGACACCCAAGGCAGGGCCAGGTGGTAGCTACAGGCCACAGCAGCCCTGCAAGGACCCCCAGCTGCTGTGGTCCTGTAGTCACCTCAGCCGCAACACTGCTCAGGGGAAGCTGCTGGCCTGCGCTGAGGCCCACTGCAGCTCCTGGCTCCCTATGGCTGGACTCATCCTTGTAGTCCCCTGTGGGCCCTGGGTGGCACACAGCAATGCCCACCCATTCAGGAAGCCCAGCCCCCAGCCACTCAGGATGCGAAGTAAGCAAAATGCCCTTTTTTCTCCCTACCCCCCCACACCACCTTGTCTCCTAGGTGAAGAGGAGCCAGCCCCTGGTTTCGTCACATTTCTTTATCAAATCACCCGAGGAGTTGCTGCCAGGAGCTATGGCCTGAATGTGGCTAAGCTGGCAGATGTCCCTGGGGAAGTTCTGCAGAAAGCTGCCTGCAAGTCACAGGAGCTGGAAGGATTGGTGACCACGAAAAGGTCAGTCTGTGGGCAATGCACCACGCTGTGTTCAGCCTCTCCCCAAGTCACTTCAGGGATGGTTCGTGACTGCTTCGTTGTCCTGCCCTTCTCCCTGGTACCCAGAGTACTGCGTGAATGCATCCCGCACACAGCCTTAATGGCAGGAGTGGATCTGGGCAGAAGCCTCCCAGGAAAATGCCAGGCCACATAGATCACCCTGCCCTTGCCAGGAAGCCTGGTGTGCTGGGTGGGGAGTTGCAGCTGGTCACCAGCTGTGGCCCTGAATGAACAGATGCCCTCCGCCAGAAGATCTAGCCTGCCAAGAGTCCATGGCTGCTCCTCTGAAAACATGATCTGGTTCTGGGAGGCATGACCAGCGTGCGATGCTGTCAGGTTGGCACCTGTGATTCTAGTTCAGGAAGCAGCTGCTGACTCGGATGCTCTGTGCCCTCATCTTCCTTTCCTCCACTTCCTTCCTCCTCTCCTGCACTCCAGCATCCTTCCAGCAGCCAGGCCAGTGCAGGTGCCATGGCCGCTCCGGGTCAGAGCAGACACAGGAGCACGGGGTGCAGGTGCCATGGCCGCTCCGGGTCAGAGCAGACACAGGAGCACAGGGTGCAGGTGCCATGGCCGCTCCGGGTCAGAGCAGACACAGGAGCACGGGGTGCAGGTGCCATGGCCGCTCCCCGGGTCAGAGCAGAGACAGGAGCACAGGGTGCAGGTGCCATGGCCGCTCCGGGTCAGAGCAGAGACAGGAGCACAGGGTGCAGGTGCCATGGCCGCTCCCCGGGTCAGAGCAGACACAGGAGCACGGGGTGCAGGTGCCATGGCCGCTCCTCAGGTCAGAGCAGAGATGGAGGAATGCGATCACTTTGTCTGTTGCTGCTACGGACAGTGCAGTAGGAAATGTTTCTAGAAAGTGATCTCTGAAAATCAAAATGAAATCAAAAACCTAGCCCAGATTTCCCTGCAAAGTCCAAAGATGAATTCAGCTCTTCTGTTTAATTCTCGTTGCTTTCCTGGATGGGAATAGAATAGAACTTAACTGTATGAAATACATGTGGAAGATGGTGGCAGAAGAGGAGGACTTACACTTAAAGCTGCTGGCCGGCCTGTAAAGCGAGGGCAGGAAAGTACAGGTGATTCGTATCTTAACTCTTGCAACTGACATGTCGCGTAACAAGGAGATGGTCCCATCAGAATGGAAGCTGATCGTTTATCCGGACACTACTTGCTGTATTACCTTTTTACTAAAATCAGTGTATAACATCTGTTCTGTTGGCCGGATTAAAGCAGCCAGCCCAAGTGTGGGCCTGGCTGTGGATTCATTGTAGCTGCCCATGTGCATTGCATACTTGCTGTGTGCAGAAAGGAATTTGCCTGGTCATTTGCAGAAGTCCAGACACAGTGCCAGCAGCTGTTCTCACGTGCATTAACTCACTTCACTCCAGGGCCAGCCCTGTGACTTAGATGCTGCTGGCACCCTCACATGCTGACCAGGGAAACAAGCCCCAACAAGGGAAAGAAGATCCAGGGTCACACAGCTGGCTGGTGCAGCAGTCATTAGAACTCAAATATTCCAGCTCCAGAGCCCAGAAACCCACTACTCTCCAGGAAAAAGAAAAAAAGTAGGCCTTGTTAGCACTGGCCACTTACCCTTTTCTCTTCCCAAGTTGGATGGGTGTGGGGGGCATGGGTACATGCAGACACACACACACACCCAGAGTAGGAAGGGGCAGGTCACCCTCTGTCCTGCCTGTCACAAGGGATCTTAGTAGGAGCAGAGGCAACAGTGGTCCCAGTAACCTTGGTCCCCCAGAAGGCTGCCGTGGCCACTGCTTTCTAACCTGTGTCATGGCCTGCCATCCCCAGGCCACAGGCTCTGCATAACTGGCCATGCGCTGGATTTGCCTCTGCTGTTTTATTTCTAACCTAATTTTTTGGTTTTTTTTTTTTCCCCTCCAGGAAAAGGTTGAAGTACTTTACACAGTTATGGGCAGCGCACAGCGCACAAGATCTGCGGGAGTGGACAGAGGAGCTTCAAGACGGGCTGTAGACTTCCCCGACTGCAATGCACCGAATTCGGGGACTGGTGCGTCCAGGTGTGCAGGAGCCTGCAGTGACGCCCGCCTGGGCGAGGTGTGGGCGCAGCGTGCACCTGTGGGCTCTGCCTCGTGCGAAGACAGCTTTCAAGTTCCTGCTCTCTCGGGGTTTCAGAGCCCAGTGCCTTTTGAATAGTAAGACTTCGCTTATTCAACCCTAAGTTTCACAGACAGGAAGTTTCACACAAAAATCAGAACCTCTTGCATAAAACCACAAGTCTAGGCAGAAAGCAATTCATGCGCTTTGGGAGTGTAATCTAAACATTTAATTGACATGTTTTTTGTTCCAGTTCAAATAATTGGCAACTGGGTAACTGGCAGGAATCAACCTTTCCACTTGAAGTAAAATAATTTTTATAATGCCATCAGTTTACCGTGAACGCAGGATTTTTTTTTTTTAAACAGAAACCATTGCCAGGTTTTTAGCAGTGAAAGCACAGCAGGAACGGGGCTGTCTGAAGAGGAAACATCGTCATGGTTTTAAGTCACTTCAAGAGTGTTGGATCAACTCATTTGTTCTAATAATAAAGTATAATATAATGAGCATTTGCTATATACGGTGGTGTGTCCTGAATTTTCATTTTTTCAGATAGCCTGTCACCCTTTGGTTCTAATCCTGGAGCCAGTTGGCCACTCATACCGCAGCAGCATGCAGAGCTGAGCGGACTCCTCGGCTCCTCTGGAACTTTCCGAGACCATCACTCTGTTGATTTGTGACAGCACTCCCTCTCTGCGGGTTCAGGGTGACACGTGCTCCACTGCGTCCCTGGACTCTGACAGCATTACAGTCTGGCTGTGCAGGCCCATGTGTTCTGTTTCTAAACATAGGTTCTTGCGCAAGGGCTCTGCCTTGTTTCCCAGCCGTTCGTTATCCTTGCTCAGCTCAATAGCTCCCCGACATCCAGTGAACACCCTGGGTCCACTTCTGGAGGCTGTTATCCTCAGTGGTCCCCACAGCACCTCAGTGGTTTGCTGCCTCCCTGTTGGGTCACCCATACTTCGGCAGTCTTTTTTTAGGTTGAGGGTGGACATAGTTAGATGGATTTCATCTCCCCTCTAGAAACACTGTGCAGTGAAAGTATCAAAACTGTCTCAAAATAGAGTGAGATAGAATGTACTCTTCAAAAGAATGATATTGTATTTCAACACTCAACGTGCCTCTACATGTTTCATATTCTTTCTAGCCAGATTTCAGAGATGGTCTTGTGACCACGCTGGCAGGCAGGGAGAAAAGGAGATGAATCGAGGCATGCTCGAGGGAGCTGCGGGTCCAGCTGTCACAGGAGATGTCGCAGGTGTGTATTCTGGACTGCCTGTGTCTCTGCCTTGGCTGAGACCAGTGTCACCGTGTAGGCAGGTAGGCATCCAGAAGTGGTTGTGCCAGACACAGTGTCTGGCACCGAGCGTGGAACCTTCCAGGCTAGGCTCTCCAGCGTGAGGTGGGCATGGGTCAGCAGCCTGCAGGAGGAGGCCCACCCTGAGCAGGGGACCAGATGGACACTGCAGGGTTGCATCCCAGCTGTAAATGCTGCACAGACGCCTTGGGGATTGTCAGAAAGTTTGCCTCAGGCGGATCTGCGCTCCCAACTGAAAGCCACAGTTCTACTGTTAGGGGTGACTCAGTGGTTCGAGTGGGACTGCTAGTGGACCCAGGGCTCTCCCTGTTCTCTTAGCCCTTCACCCTTCCAAAGGGGAGGCAGGGTTGGTGGCAGGAAGCAAAGGAAGTGGTGTTGATCCGCTCCTTTTAGTACTTGTCCATTTTTAGCCATAGAGGTACAAATTTAGAATTGGCGATTCTACATTGACAACACCAACTACCCAAAAAACTGCTCCATGCATTGGGACCGGTTTCAGCTTTGATCCTTCCTTTCTGCTGCTTTGCCTTGCCGGTGCTCTTTCTCACTGGAGTGTGGTTTGGGTGGTTTTGTTGCTGTTTGAAAAGCACAGACACAGGGCCTGGCATGATGCTGCAGTGGCTAACTCCTCAGCTTGCACACACCGGGATCCTACATGGGCACCAAGGCTCCACTTCCCCTCCAGCTCCCTGTTTGTGGCCTGGGAAAGCCATAGAGGGCAGCCCAAAGCCTTGGGACCCTGCAACTGCATGAGAGACCCGGAAGAAACTCTTAGCTCCTGGCTATTGCAGCCACTTGGAGAGTGAACCAGAAGATGGAAGATCTTTCCCTCTTATCTGCCTTTGCACTAAGTATAAATAAATTAAAAAAAAAAAAAAGACACAGAAACAGCTCTCATCTAGTGGTTCACTCCCGAATGCCCAGAACAGCCAGAGTGGCTGAGGCTGAAACCAGGAGCCAGGGACACACTACAGGCCTCCCCCATGGTCTGCAGTTCCTTCAGCTGTCACCAGGATCGGCACTTGCAGGAAGTAGGAATTAAAATCAGAGCTGGCAAGGAACTCGGGTACTGCAATGAGAGATGCCATTTGTTAGCTGTTAGACTCATTACCCACTCCTGTACTGGTTTTGAAATGTTCTGTGATAGTATAGCTATTGTGATAGAATATTTTTAAATCTACAGGACTATAAAATTCTTAAAAGAGGGAAAATGACCTTAAATTTTATGATTTAAAAGAAAAATGTGGGCCTGGCACAGTGGCTTAGTGGCTGAAGTCCTCATATTGCACAGGCTGGAATCCCATATGGGCACCAGTTTGTGTCCTGGCTGCTCAACTTTCATTCCAGCTCCCTGCTTGTGGCCTGGGAGGGTAGTCAAGGACAGCCCAAAGCTTGGGACCCTGTGCCTGCATTGAAGACCTGGAAGAAGCTTCTGGCTCCTGGCTTCACATCAGCTCAGCTCTGGCTGTTGTGGCCACTTGAGGAGTGAATCAGTGGACAGGAGATCTTCCTCTTTGTTTCTCTTCCTTTCTGTATATCTGATTCTCCGATTAAATATATATATTTTTTATATATATTTATATTATATATATATTTTTATATTTGAAATATATATTTTTATATATTTTTATATATATTCTCCGATTAAATATATATATATATTTATATTATATATATATTTTTATATTTGAAATATATATATATATTTCAAATATAAAAAGCAGAAGCATTTGAGTAGCTCAGCCTATCCCAGTAGCCTCATCCCACTGAATCATAGTCTTTGGGTTAAGCAGTTCCTTAACAGCTTTATTGACACAATTTATACACTATGCAGTGTGCCCATTCAGAATATTGCCCAACTGTTACCATGGTCAATTGCGAAACCTTCTCATCCCCCTAAAACAAACTGTGGGCAGATGTGTGGTGTAGCAGTTACGGTGCAGCTGACATTCCTGTGTCCCATACCAAAGGCCTCGGGTTTGAGCTCCAACTCTACTGCCTGTCCCTGCTTCCTGCTAGTGGCAGACTGGGGTGGGGGAGCAGGTGATGTGACTCAAGTGCTGAGACCCAGATGGTGTGCGGGCTCTTGGCTTGCGCCTGGCTAAGTGCCAGCTCCAACGGACATCTGTGCAGTGAACCAACAGGTTGAAGATCTCTGTCTTTCAGATAAATGAAGTAGTTTTGAAAGTAGCGACTCCTTTACCCATGAACATTCTTCTCCACAATCTGCTGTTGTATATAACCACCAGTCTGCTCTCTGTCTCTGTGGGCTTGCCTGTGGTGGACTTTTCCTGGGAGTGGGGTGACACAGTATGTGGCTCAGTGGTCCCACTCAGCCTGTGCGGGGTGCATTGCCAGATGCTCCCCATAGATGCCCAAGACCACATGTAATAGCAACCCAGCGTGCATTGTGTTTTTTCCTGTACATACATACCTGGGCGAGTAAGGCACAGTAGGAGGTTAATAAGGACTTCACATATCTTCACTGCCTTGGCATACATTTTTTTTTTTCCTTTTCAATTAAAGGAAGCCCTTGCCAAAGCTTCTCTTTGGCATGTATTCAATTTGCCAGCATCACTCCTGTGCTTTGGGACCTTAAACAAGGGCCCTTTGATCCCACAGTATTTGTCCTGGTGGCCAAGGCAACTCCTAAGTTTAGTCATTAGCAGGCAGGGACGCCTGGATGTGGAGGATTCCCGTGGAACATGGAGTAGGTGAGAGTGGCGTCAGTTATGTCTGACTTGTCATAAAATGACTGGCTTGTCATTTTATATTGGCAAGACCATATTAAGATATGGGTAACTAAAATCCCAGAAAGTGAAGCCACCCATCAGCTAGATCCTGTACTCTGGGCCACTCCTTGGATTGAGCCCAGCATCCTCCAGGGTCCACCCATGGTGGAGTGTGTCAGCAGTGTATGCCCCTGCGTCTCTGAACCTTATCTCGGTGGACAGAGCACGCTTTACCCACTCCACTCAGCAGCTGGCGTGTATTCCAACTGCTTCCATTTTTGGCTGTTGGGAATAGCTGCTGTGAACATTCATGGACCATGCAGGTTTTGAGGTGGCGACACGCAGGATTTTCTTTTCAGCTCTTCCTTTGACGGGGATGCGCAGTCAGGTTTGTGAGCCTCTTGTCTCAAGGATTACAAAAGACTAAGCCATGTTCCTAATTGAGTTGACAGTCACGTGACCCATCTTGTCTCTACTTCGTCTGTCACTTAGAGCATGCTATGCTCTTGGCCGTAATAAAATACTTGTTAAAATAGCAAAGGGAAAAAATATCCTCCTAGGTCAGACACCCTGTGAAAAGATGCCTCTTTTGCTAATCAAGGCTTTGTCTGGGTAGGAGCCCACACCACATCCAGAAGTCTGTGTATCTTAAAGAAGTGAAATGTGTCCGCCTTTCAGCCTGTGGTACTGAATGGAGCTAGTGAAACAGCACCCACAGTTGCATTCCAGGGGGAAAACAGGCGAATCCAATCTGCTGTACAAATTAACATTGACCTTTTCCCGGCTTCCGAGATCAATATTCATGACTGCCGTGCTGTGTCATTCTCAAAGTGCTATTTGATATTTCACACTACGGTTAGGGGTGGCAACAAAAAGGAACTTGTCTTACCACCGTCTGTGGTCTGTAGCTTTGTAATTCAGGCCAGTTCCTCTGTGGAACATTCTCATTAGGCTATGTGATGATTGTTAGGTTAACTAACTTCCCCCAAATATTACTCAAAGTTATGGAGACTGCTATCTTGGTTGCATAGAACAGTCTTAGCCAACACCTGTTTTTCTGACATTTTTAATTTTCAGAAAGTGTCCTCATTAGGCTTGTGGGCTTCTGGCACAACAGTTAAGGTGTCCCTGGGGTGCCCACGCCCCTCTTGGATTGCCTGAGTTCAAGTGCCACTTGTACATCTGATCCCAGCTTTCCGCTGATGTGCATCTGGGGAGGCCGCAGGTGCAGACTCACCTAGGAGCGCTGGACTGAGACTCTGCCTACTGACTTCTCCTTGGCCTAGACCTGGCTGTTGGCGTTTGGAGAACTTCTCTTTGACTGTCTCTGTATCTCTACCTTTCAAATAGAAGAATAAACAAATAAGTGCCTTGTTTTGGGTACTAAATATTGTTAATCTGAGCTATAGATGCTACTTCATGGGTACCGTTACTGATTTGATCGATTCCAGATTTCTTTAAAAGCTTT